GCGCCTGGCCCTGGCGCAGCAGCGCACGTGCGCCGAGCTCCTGCGAAGGCCACCTGCCCGGCTCCACTTCCAGTTTGCTCTTCGGTTCTATTTCTGTAGAATTTCTCCAGGGTGGCCGAGAAGAAGAGACGGAGCAGCTGAAAAACACTGATCAGTTTAGCTTCGTCGGGAAAACCAGAAGCTACCTAAGATCCTACTCATGAAATGTGATTTATTTTTCTTGTCATTCCATAAGCTTGCTGAAGAGCGTACCAGTAATATATTGAATCTCCACAGAACTCCGTGAATCTGTTATTTTTCAAGTGTGTCATATACAATATGCATGTGTGTTTAAGCTAAAGGCGTAACTACTTTATATTTTTAAAAGAACACTTTTTTTAGGAGGTAGAAGAGAAAGTTCAGTTGGCCACCCATTTAATGGAAACCATTGTTTTATTGAAAATGAAGTAAAAATGGAAAGATTATAATTCTTAGCAAATGAAGGAAGATATGTAGAAAAGTTGGGACTATTAGAAAAAGAAAGCAAAGTAAGAGATGTGGGGAAAATAAGAGAAACAGGAAACAAAGAATTCCAAAGAAAATGAAGAGGGAAAAAGTATGTGCTTAAAAGTAGAATATTTACAACAATAGTTCAAGTATTTCACTCATTATAACAATACTAAAGAAGTTTATATATATCCTGGAAAATTGTTATATTTTCACAATATTTTTATTTTCTAACATTTTCAAATAATATAAAAATATTTTACTATGTTAAAGTTGTAGTATCTTTTATTAAGAAAAAATACAAATATTTCTCTAAAGAAGCTCAAAAGGATGTTCCCTAATGTTGGAATGAACATAAATCTTCAAAATTAGTTAATACATACTGCTTTTTCTGGGAAGCAGTATGGATCACACTATTCTTTAATATAATGTTTTTCAAATTTGAAATAACACACTCCAAAGGTAATGTTGGTTTATAAAATATTAAAATCAACAGGTTGGGAAAGGGAAGGCTTCTGTTTTTCCTTTTTTTACACATAATGGTAGTTTCATTCCAGGTCATATTTTATTTATATGTTAATTTCACATAATTTTAATATGTTTAACTTTTTAAAACATGCTAGTATTTATGTATATGTGCACACATATTCAGATAGGGTAATTTTTACTACTGCCTAACATTATACTAAAATACTGCTTTACCTATTTTTAATTACAGAGTGCTAATGTTTTGAGAAAATTATGAAACTATAGTTTAAAGACAAGTAACAGGGAGCAAATTCCTACCTTTAGTTTTTACCACTCACTATAGGTAACCTTACAAATATAGCTAATCCAAGACAGTATTAACAAACTGCTTTGTCTTATAAAAGAGATAAGTTTCACAAATGTATTGATGGCATAACCTATACAGCGATGTCCTTGTTTTGCAATAATGTACCCCAAGTGTTAGATTGTTGAACTAACAATGGCTGTGTTAAAGAAGACTAAATAAACCAAAAATGAAAAGTATACAACAGTGTCAGTTTTTTGGCAGAACAACTTTAGAACAAGCAGAAAGAATTGATTTTTAAACTCTCCTCCAAATGTAGCTGTAATGTTGATTGTTTCAGTCTTGATTTCCCCTATTAACTCTGTTTTCTCTTTTCCCTGATCTCATTTAGAAATCTAAGTCTCATTCTTCAAGTTTAACTTTCTTGACATCACCTTGCCAGCTCTGGAGAGCATCTGAATTTGTTGCAGCTGCTTGATGAATTTGATATTTCCATCTGCATTTTTACTGTTTGGTACCAGACCTCATAATACATTAAGTAGTTCTGCAAACATGAATGTATTGAGCTGTAGATTCAGTTGATTCACACAGATAAACCTTTGTCTTCTGCGGTGTCATACTCTTGGTAGAAGACTTAATTTCATTCATGGCCTTAAGCACGCCTGTTTAACCTTTACGAAGTTGGTATCGCTTCTTGCTGCCAAGGATTTGGAGGATCCAGAGCTAATGTAATGATTACATTTCCCTTTTTTTTTTAATTTTATATATCTTTATTGATTTCAGAGAGAGGAAGGGAGAGAGAGGGAAAAAAATATCATTGATGAGAGAGTCATCATTGATCGGCTGCCTCTTGCACACCCCTGACTGGGGATCGAGCCCGCAACCCGGGCATGTGCCCTGACCAAGAATCAGCCGCGATCTCCTGGATCCTAGGTCGATGCTCACCACTGAGCCACGCCTGGCCAGGCATCATTTCCTTTTCAAAAATGCTAATGTTATGTAATAAAAAAACTACACTCAGGTATCTTTTTAGATTTTACTGACAAATTATTCTATGTTCCACATTTGAAGTGTTAAACGCCTAAGCAATATACAGAGAATAAGGCCAGATAATTGTTGAAAACACATACTGTTGGGATTACAGAGAGGAGCAGTTGTGGAAACAACAGAAGCTATTTATTCTGTGTTATTGTTGAATTATTTGCATTCTGGTGAGGCTGCAAAGTCCCCAAATTAGATATGTCTTCTCCCGCCCATCCAATAACCCATTTCTAACTTTATGTGCCTGGAGCTCAAGGACTGGATTAGTTTTTCCCGAAAGATTGGTTATACATTAATAAGCACGGAGATCCATATCTTAGAAGTATAATTCAGGAGTAAGAAGCTTCTATTACATGGATCACAAATCTCACAGAAATATAGCAAAGATGTCACTTTTCTACAAGATTTTATTTTTAAAATATATAGGCATATATATTTCAACAGGAATATGTTTCTCTTCCCACTTAGGACTCTAGTATGTTTATTTATATACATGAAAATAAAAGACCCACACTAAGGCCAGTTCTGCAAAAAATAAATATTTTTCACACTTATTGTGTGATGAAAGCCCAAGATGTTTCTGCTTTTAGCACTGCTCATGCAAAAGATCAAGGTTTGAACCTCATACACTTCGGTCCACTGTCAGGAAACAGAAGCTCCTTTGACATAGCCAAGCTGTTAGTGTTAGTAAAGGTTATATTGAAAGTCATTTCCTACATTAAGACACTAATGCCCAAGCTCAGTTAATTCTTGCTTGAAAGTTTGTTTACTGCCCTACAGCCCAAGTCTAAGTGATTTTATATTGGAGATTGAGAGTATGAGGAATTGAGGTACATGTAGCAATCATTATTAACAGTTCCATAGCAACCACCAGTCTTTTCCTGAAAACCAAGCCTCTGACACTGCAAAGCCAGTTTCCGATGAAGCTGGCACTGTGACCTTTGTTTTCTGCTTGATCTGGGTGTCGAGATAAAGACTTCTGCAGCCAGGAACTCATTCCTAAAGGGAACAGGCAGTAACTCCCATTATTAAAGATATACTCTTCCTATTTTTGTTTTAAACATTGCAGTATCTGAAACACTGAAATTATTTTTAACTCTCTACTCAAACTTCCCAGTAAAGAAGCCAGACCTTTAGCAAAACAGTCTGATATTCATACATTTAAACTTTTCACCATAAAATAAATCTATTAAATATTATTGAGCAATGCAACAATTTGTCTCTTTGACTTGCTAAATTTCTTAGTGCCCAAAGCAGTAAAACACAATCATGGGGGAGAGGGAACCAACATTTTTAATAGCTTATGTTACACCAGGTTGGGATCTCTAATGGTCATGTACTATGTACCCACCATGTGCTAGACACAAGCACTATCTCATTTAATCAGACATCCTGTTAGGTAGGTGCTATTTTTGCACCTGAGACTTTTGAAGTTAATTTACTCGAACCAGTAAGATGGGGGAGGGAGGAAACTCCAGAATTCTCACTCTAAGTTCTCATTCATCATGTTATAATTTAACTATTTTTCCTTTGTTGGTCACAGAGTTGAATGTCTTGACAAGTTCACATAACTATTGAGTGTCAGAGTCAGTGTTCAACTCATCTGAAATCCATGCGCTTGCCAAAACAGACTCCTAATTATATCACCCAACTGTGCTTAACAATGAATCACTTTATAAGCTCTTAGATGGTATAGTGTTAATTTCATTTTATCTCCCCTTATACAGCAAGTATCACATATAACTATACTATGTAAATGATTTGGGTGATTGTCATCCAATGCTAAGAAAAAGCAGCTCATGGTTCTTGGGGAGCCACAGAGAGCTATTATTTAGGTCTGTTGAGGCCATGGAGGGGCTCCTAAATTCCTTGGTATTGTCCATTGTCAGTCAGTAGCTGCAGGGTTCACTTTGGGCCATGGTTTAATAAGGGCAACTGTCAGCAGAGATAGATACTCGGGCTGGTTAATTCAAAGATGGCACAAGAAGTCTGCCTCAAACCCTTTAAGTTAAAGACGTCATACCCCTGTGTGATGCTAGAGAAATCACTGTGGGGGTATGCAAGGAGAGTATGGAGGTTCGGGAAGTATGGTGAACACTGAGGATAGGGAGACCTAACCTCTGATTATAATTCCTACAAAATCGCCCAGCTGTCCTCTCAAGGAAAGCAGGAACTAGGTCAAGCAAATGAGAGGTCTCCATTTCTGTGGTCAAACAACCAAAGAAAACTCTAGGCCAACCCTCTTTCATCAAGACGTATGTGGCAGGCAGACTTCTTCCAAAGGCTTTGGCAGTGGTCACAAGCTCAAATGCCTAACCGGGCTCACAGTGAGTAAAAGAGTCCCAGGAGGTGGCAGCAATTGTACCAAAGCTGTTGCATGTGGGCCGCATCCTCTCGATGGGGCACCCTTCTAATTCATCCACCCAAAAGTGTTACCTTTTTTCCCCCCGGCCGGAGTGGCTCAGTGGTTGAGGGTCGACCTGGGATCCAGGCGATCTGGGTTCGATTCCCTGTCAGGGCACATGCCCGGGTTGCGGGCTCGATCCCCAGTCGGGGGCTCATCATTGATGTTTCTATCTCCGTCTCCTTTTCTCTCTCTGAAATCAATAAAAACGTATATTTTTTAAAAAAAGGTGTTACCTTTTTTCAATTTCCAGGAAGGGACAGTACATTCTAGGAGCCACCCTGGATGGGGGTAAACTGCCAGCCACTACCCAACTCCAATTGCCATATTGGAAATCAAGCTGCTCCCAAAACTTCTACTTCTTTTAAGAAGGGCCAAAATTCAGATTTCTTTTTATATGAAATCCTCTTTGCTTTTAATTTTTGGCAACTAGTTCAAATCATTTTAAATAGTGTGCAAGCCAATAGTAACTGTCTAGTCTCTGGATGTAGCCCTGACAA